TATATATATATATATATATATATATATATAATATACATAAATATATTAAAAATTGATGTGGGTACTCAAATGAAAGGTCTCGACGAGTTTAATGTCAGAGTGAGCTTATATCTTTAAAAATGTCAATAGTTCACTAGATACAAGGTCATATATCTAAAAATAGTCATATAATGTATAATTACTTATTTCAGAACACGATACCAAAGAAATAAGTGATTTAGACTCGAGTAGATCCTCAAGTGGTGCCGGGGACAGCGATTCGCCAAACAATGACTACAATTCTAGCATATCAAAACTAAACCAGCACTACGGCAGTTTTTATCTGCGAATGGGCGCTGTGGCTTTTGGAATTGGCTCGATGATTTACTCTGGGCTAGAATTTGGACAATACTTTGAGCTCGAAAGAAACACCAAGTGCCACAATATTATGCTGGCACTTACTCCTGCCACGCGGATGGCTTTTATATTCATTCAAATGTACTTCATTTTCTTGAACAATCAGGTGAATTAATTATTCATTGAATAAATTAAAAATACTTGTATTTTTTTTAATTACTAATAAATTTATCGGGAAAATAATTGAACATTTTATTAGCAATCTTGATAAAAAAGAATAAAATTTCTCAATACTTTTTGCGTGTTTTTACAGTAAAAAATCAATAAATTGATTGTTATAATTATTAATTATAATTAAAAGTTGTAGGAGTAATAATTAACAGTGACAATAAGTAAAGGAGTATCGATTAGCTATAATGAGAAACTTCAAAGCTCTAGGGGATGAAATGCCGATGGCAATGTTTAATGAAACGTTCGGGTCAATATCCTTTTACTTTGTACTTAGCTTGTCAATCATATTAGTTTAACAGTATACCTATAGGGTAGTACTGCACTTGAATGTAAAAATATAATAATTAGCTCCACACTTCTTTAGCTTTAGAGTTTATAAACCCGTTTGTCCTTTTTAGCAAATGAAAGTTTCTTCACATCGACTGCTCGCACGCTTCGGACTCATGCACATGATTGGTACCAACCTATCGGTTTGGCTTAATGTCCTTGTTCAGGAGACTAAGCATGAAATACTCACGTTCTATAACCCGGAAAATAATTCCTTGAAAATTTCTCATCGACTTGGTAAGTTTGCTTTAAGTTATACATTTTTTAATTAGTTCAATACTTTAAAATCTTTATTTTTAATTGTAATAATTTTTGGTTAAAAATATACTCCTACATATTTTAATAACAACTAAAATTTATAATTCTTACTATTTCTTTTTTTTTTTTTATTTTAATAGATTGAAATTCTGCTTAAAATTTTTTACAAATTAATTAAATTTTGTATATTATTCTTGTAAGTCATAATTATTAAAAATATATTTTATTTATTATCGTTTAAATTTTAAATAGATTTATAAAGCTCACAAAAAATAAATTTAACAAGACAAAAAAATATAATTTAAACAAATTAATTTTTTATTTAATTTAAATTTTTTGATGTAAAAAATTGAAGCTTTTATTTTTGTGATTAATTTAAAAATTAGAAGAGCATAAATTTTTTTTTTATTAAAAAATAAAACTTAGTTTTTGATCATTCATCAATTTTGTAAGTAAATAAACTAAAAAATAATAATATCTATAAAAAAAGAAAAATATCGATTAATTTTTAAGTTAAAAATTTTTTAAAAACAATTTTATTAAATATTAACTGAAAATGATAATTTCAGGAGCGAAAGGAATTCATTTAGGCGGCCATACGCATACACACCACGGTGAGAATGTCCGCGTATCCCGGGGATTAAAGGGCCCGCACCACATGTTCGAATGTCGACGAACAAATATTATGGGTTCGCTGGTCCAAGACGCGAGTCCTTTTCTATTTCCTTGCACCATTGAGTACAGTTTAATTTGCGCCGCTATCCTGTACGTCATGTGGAAAAACATCGCGAAACAGAGATCGAGCACTAATCTACCGACCGGAACTACCGGTAATCACGTTCACGCCCACGCTTACAGGTAAAACAATAAAAAATTAGAACCAAATTTATCGACCAAAAAACTTTAATTTTATTTTCTAATTTTCCGCTTTAGAAATTTAAGGTTTCAAATTTCTAGCTATAAAAATAAAAAAACAAAGATTCTTAACGCGTAAACAAAAATTAAAAAAAAAACTTCATTTTTAAAAATCTAACTTAATTTTTATAAATATTGACGTTTTTAAAGATATATAAGCTCATCTCGATGTTACACTCATAAAGAGCTTTCATTTGAGTACCCACATGCATTTTGATATATTTTTCATATATACATATATATAATATATATATAAAATATGAAAAAATGATGTGGGTACTTAAATGAAATGTCTTGATGAATGTAATGTCAGGATGAGCTTATATTTTAAAAAATTTCAATAGTTGACAAGATACAAGGTCAGTTGTTAATTATTGACATTTTTAAAGACATAAACTCATCCCGATGTTACACTCATCGAGACCTTTCATTTGAGTACCCACATGTATTTTCATATATTTTTCATATATACATCTATACATATATATAATATATATAAATATATGAAAAATTGATGTGGGTACTCAAATGAAAAGTCTCGATGAGTGTAACATAAGAATGAGCTTATATCTTTAAAAATGTCAATAGTTTACAATATACAAGATCTTTTCTTAATTATCTATCTAGAGATCGAGAATTTTCGAACATTAAAAATAATTTATTAACAATTAATAAAGCTCATCAAATAAAAACAAATCCTTCTCTCATCAATTTGCCAATCAATCAATAATTACTAAAAAAAACCTACATTTCCAGACGATCGCCGCACTACTACAGCGTGGACTGCGCCCGCGCTCACAAGGGTCTATTCGTAGGAATCCTAATCCTCGTGCTAACAATAATCTCATTAATCCTCTTCTTCGTGCTAATTTCCCGGTCAGAGCTCGTGAGTTTCGCCGTGACCGAAGTGAACGTCTGCGAGCTGACTCTCTACGGAATGTCGACGGTGGCGACTCTGATCGGGATGATCCAGATGCGACGACTGAGGTACGACGGAGCCCGGAACCTGGAGCTGGACAACATCCTCCTGATCGCCGCACAAACCGGGATGTTTATCTACTCGACGTTCACGATAATAAGCGGGTACTTCACTCTCGAGAGGAACACGATCCTCGTCCTGGTGACGGCCCTGGCCAGCGTAATTCAAACTACCTTCCAGACAATCTTCATCCTCGACGCGTCAAGAAGGTCTGTCTCCTCCCCCGAGCAAATTAGGCGCAAGCCTGGCCGCGAGATTGTTACCTTTTTACTGGTGACAAATCTCGCGATGTGGGCGATAAATACTTTGGAGAAGTCCCGCGCGGAATCACATCCAGTTCAGCTGCACTTTTACGGCCTGTGGGCCTGGACGATAATCACACACGTGTCGATGCCCCTCGCGATTTTCTACCGGTTCCACAGCACTGTTTGCCTTTGCGAGGTGTGGAAGAGAGCTTACAAAGTTAAGCCGACATACATGTGACGCAAAAAAAAATCCAAGGGGACCATGACTAGAGTTGTTACGCAAGAGTCTTTTAGTTCTTGTCAATTGCACCGTAATATTACGCGTCTTGATGCTATTAACGAAAACGACCCGACTTATTTCATGTGATTGTAATTTTACTGGTAATTATTATTATTATTATTGATATTATTATTATTATAGAGTTGCGTGTTTGTTTGACTCAGGAAGCAATAAATTATTTATTATTATTTTTACACGTTAAATTACTGGTCTGGAGGAAAAAAAAATTTTTTTTTGACACGAAATTTCACTTATTCCAACAAAATTAATTCTCTTGCTTTAAGAAATACGTATCTTGATCCAAGAAAATTTATTTAGTTCTTGATAGAACATGTCAAATGGGTAGATCAAATAATATTTCATCATTTTTTTTCATTCAATATGTATAATTGCACGCTAAAATAATATAAAATAAGTATCAAATATTCAAGAGAAAAATTTTCTCAAGGTGAGAAAATTTTTTTCTCAGCTGAAGAAGGTGACGCTGCTTCCCTAAAGTATCTAAAAATCTTGATCAAATATAAAAATTTATTGTGTCAAGTATTTATGATAATTTGAATTAAGAAAAAATTACTTTCACCAAGAATAGAATTTCAAGAAAAATTTTTACTTTGACCAACACAACTTCGGTCTTCTTTCAGGCAACCGAAAATTTTCTTGAGCCAAGAATTTTATTCTTCAGTCAAGAAATTTTTCTTTCTGTACGAATAATTTCTGAGGTGATTTTTGAGCTTTAAATTAATATTTTGGAGAAAATAAGAAAGATATAAAAATGGTAAAGATCATTTTTGTAGAAAATTCAATTTTTCACAAAAAAGATCTATTATTTTTTGTAACTGCGATATTTAATCAAGAATTTCAAAATTTAACTTCTGAAAATCACGAATAATTTTTTTCACGAGATTTTTGTACTTTAAATTGAAATTTTGAGAAAGGAAGAGAGTTACGGTAAAAATAATGACTAATTTTAGAAAGAATTGAATTTTCTGCAAAAAAGGTTTCTTATCATTGTTTGTAATTGAAGTATTTGATCCAGAATTTTGGTTTTAAGATTTAAAAAAAATTTATTTCTAAATTAAAAAATGTAATTTAAGATTTTTGACTACAGATCAGTAATTTTTAACAGTGTAAATTTTCTTGGGCTGTAAATTGTAACGGTAGACGGTTTTAATGAAGTAAATAAATTTGACATTTTAAAAATGTCAATTATTATTTACTGTGTAGAGTAGACGTAGGTTTTATTAAACCAGCACTTATGTGGAAGTACTTTGCTCATTAAGCTCTATTTACTAGTATGGGTATCAAATGGGTAACGAGAATGGGGGAAAAATCTATTTAAACTGAAAACGACCGGTCGTGTTTATATTGAACAGAAGCGACACGCGTAGACACTAGAGTTTTTACCGGGATATTTAATATATGTCGAGGATGGATGGATAGCCATTTATATCCAAATGTCATCTAAAACAATGTAGTTGAGTATTTATAATTATTACGCTCTGTGTTGATATAATATTATATTTAATATTTAATATAAATATATATATATTTGTATTGGACGATACAGGGATCGGTGATTACTTTAGCTGTAGAACCATATCATGTAAATCGTGTTAGACCAACGTGCATTGGGAACAATTTCTTCACGGACTGACCCCCGATCATGTCATTTTTTAGTAACTATTTTTCCGAGTAATTTCGTCCATCAAAAATTTATTTTTTATAAATTTTTCCGTTTTTTCTACACTCAATAATTTTTAGACTAGTTTTTTATCGATGATACTAACTGCCGAATTTTAAAATTAAAAAAAAAAATAAAAATTTTTTCAACTATTTTTTGAATAATTTTTTAAATAAAATTTGGAATTTTTTAATTTTTTTTTCTATGAGAAAAAAATTAATTATTTTGATAAATTAGCTTTAGTTTTTTATGAATAAATTAATAAATTGTTAGCTTTCACGTAAAGGAACCTTTGTCTCAAAAATAAAAAAAAAAACCTTCCGCTTCATCGGCTTGTTCATCAATTTAATACAAAAAATAAAATGCCATCCGCTAAAAAAGAGCAACTCGCTTCTAGCCATTAATAAAAAAAGTCCTTTTTATTGATTTGATTAAAAGCACAAAAGCCGTCTGCACTCTCAACAAAGTTTATTGGAAAATTTTCAATCTAAAAACCTACAAATGAAATTCAATTGAATCTATTAATATTATTTTTATATCATACTCGTACGTCTGTAATTGTAAAATAAATTTTTGATATATCTTTATCATGATATACTGAAAGTAGCAGATGTTTGATATCCGAATTTTTCTCTTTGAAAATAATCCTCGGACCTCTGCTAATTTCAGCTCAAAAGTACACAGTATTAAATACGTAGCTTTTTGAATATTTTATATTTGAAGATCAATTTGGGGGGTTGTACGCGCTTAAGATTTAAAATGAAATTATTTTTATTGTAAAAAAATTTGAGTATATATTTTAGCAAAATTTTTCAGTAATTAATCGATCATTTATTGAAATTAATAATAAAGTACAGGATTACTGAAAAATATGTTGTAGTAACAAATAAGTTTACTTATAGTAATAAATTGATTTATTTTTTTAAACAAAAATCATTTTTTTGTTATAACAATATCTGTTTGTTAATAGAAAAAAAAATTAAATTGAATCAAGAGAAAAATTCTTGAACCAAGAAAATAATTTTGAAAAGTTTAATTGTCTTGATATAAGACAAAAAATTCTTTAATTAAGTTTAATTTACGTAAACCAAGAAAAATTTCTTAGTTTAAGAATTTTTCTACTAAAATCAAGAAAGAAGTTCTTTAAAATTATTTATTTAATTCAAGTAAATTTTTTTTTCTGTGTTTTTACAACTAAATTATTTTGTTAGTAATACTTAGATGATTTTGTTATTATAACAGAATTTATTTATTACCTTAACAAAATTTATTTATTGCTATAACAAAATTAATTTTTTGCCTCTACTATTAATTATTTAAACAAAATAATTTGGCTAGTTTAACAAAAAAAAATTTGTTAGACTATCTAACTAGTTAATGTTACTGCATTATTTATTAAAAAAATCATTTGTGAAAAAAAGAACTTATGTATAATTATTTTTATATTAATAATTGAAAAAACCTCTTTCAAGTGCGTACAATCCCTTAAATAATTAATCTTTGAACCAATCATAAACTACAAATATAATAAAAAAGTATAATATTCTTTTAACCATTTTTGAACGTTTACAAAAGCTTCGTAAATATTTAGATCTAGAAATAAATAAAAATATTTTGAGATATTTTTATGATTAATCCTAAAAATAAAATCAAGTAAACAATCATCACGTTAAATTAAGAAAAATTGTTTTCTTGAATTGTCCGAAATCGGATGTAAAATAATTGTGAATTTGTTTAAATAATTAATCAATAATTGTAAATAAAAAATTTTTTTAAAGTTCTTCCTCTCTTAGGTATCGACTATTTTTTCGAATAATTTTTATAAATTAAATAAAAAGTGAAATAAAAATAAACAAGCGACGTATACATAAATTGAGAATAATGCTATTAATAATAAAATGAAAATCAATATAGATTATATATTATATACACATTTATATACGAGATATATATATTTATTATTGCGTTATACATTTATAATATTTATTATATTATTATTGGAATTTGTAACGAACGGATGGACTAAAGTAGTATATAATAATGAAAATGAATATCCGTTTATTGTTGACAAGACTCACATTTGAATCGTTATATATATTTATATATTTATTGATATTTATGCGTCGTCATCAATTTAAATTATTAGTCTCTATTATTATTAAATTATATATTATTAAATTGTATAATAATAAATATATCAAAGTTTGTTTAAATTTGTTGTTGCTTGAATATTAATTATAATGAAATAGTAATTATAAATTATTATAGAAATAGTACCAATAGAATTCGAAATTTGGTTTAAATGTGGGTCTTGTTTACCTCCAAGTCGCTTCTCTTTTACCAAATAAATTTCATTTTAAAAAACCAAAGACAAATATCGATTAAGAAAATTATTATTATCATTATTATTATTATTATATTATATTAGATATATGAATTATAAATGCTGTATCTTTATATATGTCCGCATTATTATAGTTCCTACGCGATCTTTGTAATCTTATACCCTTTGTACTATTTGTACCTTACGAAATTTAATACACTCCGCAATAATCCACTTGAATTTATTATTTTATTGATCCTGTGTCTTTGTTATTATATTATAATTACATGCAATGAAAAAAAAAAATAAAATAAAAATACTTGATGGAAGAGAAATATTCTTGATCTAAAAAAATTATTTTGATGAGAACTAACAGAAAATTCAAGAATTTCTTGTCTTGAAATTCGATTTTTTTAGAGAAGAAAAATTCTACATAGATAAAAAAATTAACTTAGTTCAAGAGAAGAGTTCTTAAGCCAAGAAAATAATTTTGAGAAAAAATCTTGAATCAAGTGAATTTTTTTAAACCATGAACAATTTTTTAAGTCAAGAATTTTTTTTTCTTAAATCAAGCTAATTTTTTTTTTTTTTTTAGATTATTTTGTTTTTTAAATAAAATTTCTCAGAGATTTTTTCTTAATCCTCAAAACTTATTTTTTTACTCCCGTAAATTTTATAAATTTTTCAAAACAAGATTCAAATTTTCAAGGTAACTTCTTCTTGAACATTAATTTATTTTCACTATATTTTTAACAATAAGTAAACTAATTTTTGAATTTTTATTTTGAAATTTACCCATAAATTTATTTATTCCTTGAATCAAGTGAAATTTTTTTAAATCATGAGCAATTTCTCAAGAATTTTCTTTCTTAAATCGAGTTAATTTTCTTTTTAGATTATTTTATTTTAAATAAAATTTCTCAACAGTTAAAATTTTTTCTTAATCCTCAAAGCTCATTTTTTTACTTCCCTCAAAAATTTCTCAAAAGAAGAATCAAATTTTCAAGGTAATATTCTTCTTGAACGTTAATTTATTTTCAGTGTATTTAACATTAATTAAACTAACTTTTGACTTTTCATTTTAAAATTTGCCCTGAAATTTACTTATTCCTTGAATTAAACTAAAAAATTTTTTATTAAAAAAAATTTACTTAATTTTTTTTTGTAAATCGAACCGAAGCTTTTAAAAATAATTTTGTAGCTTCAATAATTTTCCTCTTAAAAATTTAAATAAAAAAAAATCTCCCCAACTAAAAAAATGATTTTTTTTCTTGACCTAAGAATAAGAAACTTATTAAATTTTCCAACATAAAAACAAGCTCTGAAAATAACTCAGCTCTGAAACATCCATCCCAAAGTAGAGTGCAGATCCTATACCTACATAGAACAAGGGTGCGATTCTCCGAGGAGAAAGTCCGTACCGTGGGGTATTGATCGCGTTTCCCATAATGGGGGTGGTTGAAGCATCAACCCCATGAACCTCGTTGTGTTACGCCATGGATTGAACTGACGAGCGAGCCGACCAGCCTACGCTAAGAGTAAAACGAGGATACTGTGAAGATCTAGAGGGAGGAAACCGGGTTGATATACACGTACAGTAGGTACTAACACACAATATATCTACAAAATATATATATATAGATAGAATCTAGCGAACCCTGTGACACGGGGTTGGACTTTTGACCGAGCTATTCCGAGCTTTAATATATACCACATCGATATCGGATGCGCATGCCTGTAAAATCTTGTTTACATCGGTCGCACCTTCACTGGGGCCACGCACGCCGTACAGTATCGTTCGTTCTCCAGTTTATTTATTTATTTATTAGTCCAAGTAATTATTAACTAATTAATTCGAATTATTATTGATAATTAAGTCATTAATTTAGGGAAAATCAGAATCAGGACGAAGGAGGAATAATAATAATAATAATAATAATAATAATAATAATAATAATAATAATAATAATAATAATAATTAGAGAGGTCATACGCATCCAACGAACCCAGACAAAGAAGTGGGTGAACCAAAAACAGGAGCAGGCGCATTGTTTCCGAGGATCCACGCAGGATTCGCACGGAAGTGTATTATTATTATTATTATTTTCAATTGTATTTATATTTCTGGATCAACAGTGGACTCGACCGTAAGCGCACGAGGTTCTGAGCCGATGGCGGACGAAAAACCCACGATTGTTCGCTGTCATATCGGCTCGATTAATAAAGTCTAGCGACTGGGTGAGTTTTTTTTTTTTATTAATATTGTTGTTTTTTAATGTAATTTTTAAGTAAATTGTAAAGTTTAACGTCTGAGGCTTGTAGAAGGCACTACTGACGAAAAAAGGTACTCGAGGAGTGTATTTGAAGGGAGTAATTATTATCCCCGCGGACAAAAAACATAAACAAAAGCGAGGGAAAAATAGTAGGGGATGGTTAACATTACGCGGTGCCAATTTGAAAGACTGTAGCTTGGCTCGCGGTCACCCTCGGCAATTCTCTAGCGACGCGTGCAACCCCACGCGTTTTCATCCCCCTGCTAGACTCGTACGCGAATTCACCACGCGGTCGATCGATTTACAGCCTCTCTTTGTTCGCTATCTATTTATAATAGATTGAAAAAATTATTCTATCGATTATTGATTTGATAGCCTATTTTTTTAATTGGTGGATTAATTAGTTGGAATTTTTATTTTTTGATAGAAAAATTTATTTAAAAAAAAAAATTAATTTTTCTATGAATTTAAATTTTTCTTTAAATTTAATTGTTGGATTAATTAGTTGGAATTGTAATTTTTTGATAGAAAAATTTATTTTTTATAAAAAAATAAATTTTTTGAAATTATTAAATAAAAAACTATAGTTTTGATTTTTTTTAGTTTTAATTCAAAATTCTGAGTAAAATATTGGAGATACGAAAAAACAAGACCTTTTTTCATAAAAAATTCTACAAAAAAGGTTTTTATTAATTTTTCTCTATCTCGCTTAAATGTCTCTAGAATTTAAATTTAAAGTTATAAAATTTTATCCGTAGATTTTAAAAGTTTAAAGTGCCGATTTTAGCTAAAGTACATATATTAGAGATTTAAAAAAATTACAAGAAATATTTTTTTCAGACAATATAATTTATAACAAAAAAAATTTCTATCATTTTTATCGTAGCTCTAACTTGTAGTAAAATACATTCAGAATTTTTGATATTAAAAATAATTATTTGAAAATGTATTTTAGGATTATTATTTATTATTAATAACAGACAGTCAGATAACGAATATTAATCGATAAAGGATGAAACTGACTCTGAATGTAGGATTTAAAACGTTAATATTTAGTACAACCGAGCAGACAAAGGCATAAAAGCTTTCAGGGTTGATTAACATCCGTCTGGGGACGAAGTACACCTTCAATGCGCATTAGTCTTCAAATGCCTCTCGATCTCGATATCTTTGTGCTTTATATTATGCATATTTATAAATATAGAATCCATCGCAATTGTCGAAGAGTCTGAGTCTAAGTCTGAGTGCGAGTATGAGGACGTCGCCGTAACTACAAAGGATTTAACCACAGTTTTTTATTTTCTTATACTACCATACAGCCTGACTTTGTGAAAAATAATAAAGAGAAATGTTTTTTTTCGGGCAACCTTGCCAAAGCCCATGGCATTGAATCCATCATGCAGACGGAAGGAATCGAGAGGGGGCTCTGTATCGCTCTCTACCTTTATAGAGGGTGGATTTTGACCAGAGGGGATGAAAACCGACGCTCTTATGGCTAAAAGAGGGGATATCTCCCAGTATTCCCATTCTCGGAGGGTAGTTCGGCGTCATTCGCTCGCTTTTTCCCGTCTAAACACCCGATTTTGTCGTTAACGTTGTTGTGCTTCCCATTTTTTTACTGTAATTTGTTTCAGTTAATGTATTATTGAATAATTATTTTTTTTATGGAAAATATTGGTTGTGTTTGATAAAAAATTTAAATAAAACACGCCGTTGTTTTTACTACTGTTTACGGCAAGTGAAAAAAAAATATATAAATAATAATAATAGTGTAGAACTGTAAAAAGATCTGACGATAAAGACAGGATATGTACACGTATATCTAGTCACGCGATCGAGGAAGATCGCACTGAGCGTCGATTATGTTTTAGCTTGTAGACGCGACTCGTACGTGCTTAATCTTTTCGATTCACGCGATTAATTGTTGTTTGGATTGGGGATAATTTAACAGAGAATTACTTTTTATTATTAATGTAACGATGGTAAGTTTTGTTTTTTTATTTGGAACTATTTAAAAATATTTATAGAAAATATTTTAATGCCTATAAAATATTTAAACTTTTTTTTTCTGGTTGGATTAATTTTTGAGTATTGAAATAACAAGTTAATTACTTGAGTGTTTAATTTTAGAAAAATTTTTAATAAATATATATATGGCGGCTTGAATTTTGCATAATTGGTGTCATGGGACGCGTTGAAATTCTTGAAATAATTTTGTACTTTCAAAAATTATTTTCTTGAATTAAGTTAATTTTTTTTTTCATTAAAAATATTATATATTTTCATTATAATTAATAAAGTGTGGAGCTGTGCCTTTTCATGGTTTCATATCATTCTCACCAATAATCAATTTATGATGATAAGTATTTAGGCTGCATTCGAAAATGCTTCATTATGTATCTCTAGATACATAATGAAGAAATGACCTTGTATCTCGTGAACTATTGACATTTTTAAAGATATAAGCTCATCCGGATGTTATACTCATCGAGACCTTTCATTTGAGTACCCACATCAATTTTTCATATATTTATATATATTATTATATATATGTGTATATGAAAAATATATCAAAAATGCATGTGGGTACTCAAATGAAAGCTCTTGATAAGTGTAACATCAGGATGAGCTTATATCTTTAAAAATGTCAATTATTAAGAACTGACATTGCTATCTTGTCAACTAATGATATTTTTAAAGATATAAGCTCATTCTGACATTACACTCATCAAGACCTTTCATTTGAGTACTCACATCAATTTTTTATATATTTATATATATTATATATTATATATATGTATATATGAAAAATATATCAAAAATTCATGTGGGTACTCAAATGAAAGCTCTTGATGAGTATAACATCAGGATGAGCTTATATCTTTAAAAACGTCAACAGTTAAAAAAGTAGAGTACAATTCGACAAAAGTCATTATTTAATCAAACAAATATTTTTTTTTAAGCTTACACCTTCTAAAAAAAAGTGAAATTGGATAATTTACTAAAAAAAATTTAACCATTTTTTGTACAAATTCTTTCACATAAAAAAAAGGTCTAAAACTTCAACAAAAACCTATTAAAAAATCACTAAGCAAAATCGCGAACCATTAAAAAGTTAACCAAAAGCTCGAACACCCTCTGAAACACCGGGAGTGTTCAAAAGTTACAGGTGGTCGCCACGCAGTCTGCGGAGTATTTATTTTGTCGGCTGTAGAGTTTTCGAGGTCTCCGACCGAGCTAGCTAAGCTAATCGATTCACTTTACCATCACACACGGTCCGGGCCAGGACCGTGTCTGAAAGACCTATACAAATGCATAACCTACAAGCGTGACCAATATACAAACAGCACTTACCACCACCCAGACAAGGGTAGGAAGAGCGAGAAGAGTACAAACTACCCTCTATACCACTCCAGAATAGTACACATCACACATAGGACATACATAGCATATAGAACATAGCACATCCAGGTACAGCTTTTGAAAAGCGCCCCCTTAGTTCCGGTTCGGTGTTATTATGACTTGCCGCGGCGCTGCGCTCGCAAGCTCCGCTGTATGAAAATACCGCACCTGTATAGTACCATACTGTGACTATAGTACCATACTCGAGTCCTGTGTAGTTCCTAGTAATAGTAATAGTACCTGGACTTCTCCCCCATGTGCCACACATTCACTCTATCACAGACACCCTTAACTTGATCAATCTCGCCCTAAATTAATAATTATTAAAATTTTATACAATAAGAAGATTTATTTTAAAAATAGGAGCTAATTTTTTGAGTAATTTTCTTATTATTTTATTATTATTAGTGTGTACTTCGCAATTTGTTTCCAACCCGGACATGAAAACCCGGCACAGATAAGAGGAAAGAGGAACGACCTAACCCAACCTCGACCTAGCCGGTGTGTTGTCAAGGCGAATAATTATTCAGTACTCGGTATAGTAGTGGTGTGTCACAATAATAGTACTAGTACTCCGGTCCGTTTTTTAAATAAAAGACCAACATCTCTTTATCTTGTCACTTGCATTCCATTAGCATTGCACGGTATAGTAATTAAACTAGTCCTTTCATATAATCTAAGGCTCAGCTCGGGCGTGACGGGTCATGTGTCATTCTTTTACGAGTCAGATATGAGTTAATTATCGAAGCTCGGGATAATGTCTCTATTATTATGATTGCAAGGAACAATTATCACTTGTTTTGTCTCTAGTCTTTTATTTGCTCGGCTGGTTAATTAAGAGGAGTGAGTTGGAGGTAATAGAGGCAAGAGGGTGGAGAGTAATATTATATTTATTCTGTGGAAATAAAAAGGTCAAATTTGTATCCAGTCAGCAGTAATTTTTTGTTAAAGGATTGTTTCTAGAAGTGCTCTAGTTTTTTGCTCGGGAATTTTTATTAAAAATTTCTTGTGGGAGGATTTTTATGCAAGTGTTGGATTTATTTTGAAATTTATGGGATTTGTGGTTGTTAGTTTGATTTTAGGTGGATGTGATTGATAGATTGATGAGTTTTTTTAAGGGACTTGTTTTATTCAGTTGGGGAAAATTCGGTAAGTTTATAGGGAAAAAAAAATTTTTTTTCAAGATTTTAAATTACTATTGTGTAACTTGAAGGAATTTTTGAATTAAATTTTATATATTTTCATTAAATTGGGAATTATTTCGGATTCAAAGATATAGTTTATATGAAATTTTATGTAGCTTAATAAAATTCTTTATAATTTCACAAGTTTGGAAAATTTAATAGAATTTTATAAAAGTTAGATTGATAAAAAAAATTAATTAGAATTAAAAAAGGAAAATTTTGAGTCTAGCAGTAAGATTTTAGACAATATTAAAACAAGGAGAAAAATTTTTAAAATAAAAAATTGTTTTTTGTTCTAATAAATTTTACTTCATTCAAGATTTTTTCAAAATGATTTTCTTGATCCAAATTTTGGTTTTTGAATCAAGTTAATTTTTTTTTATCAATGTAATAGTTTCTAAAATTATATCAAATTTCGCTAAATTTTTAGAATTATTCTTTTGTTATTTATTTATTTAAAAAGGTTATAATAAAGTTATTTATTTTATTAGTAATCAAGCTGTCAAAATGACTGAAAGTAATTTATTTACCGTAACGAGGAATTATATTAACAGGTGACATAAATCCACCTAAATATGTTGATAGATATATAAACCGCGACTGCATTTACTGAAATACATATGTGAATATACACATGTATGTGTAAATGGGTTAAAGCTCGTGCATAATACCGCAATGAGCCGATGAGCTAAATATAATGCGATAGGCAGCAGTAACTAGGAGGCGGCTAGAATAGAAGGGCTGCTACCAGGCGTCGACGTCGTTCAGTGTCCAGTTAACTTAAGTTGATGCCGCGACGCCGGTCATCTATCTTTTCCCGACCAATTAAATTCATTTTTCGCTTTACCCATATCTTATACATATGTAATGTATACCTACCCGGGGAAAACGGTTTAGATCTGACCAGATATAATTATATCTGGTCAGATCTAATTATATCTGGTCAGATCTATTTATATCTGGTCAGATATGGGATTGGAGACATAATCAGATATAGGCATATCTGATCAGATCTAAACAGATATAACTATATATATCTGAGTTGAAAAATACATCAGACATAATCAGATCTAGTCATATCTGATCAGATCCAAACAGATATAACTATATATATCTGAGTTGATAAATACATTAGAGATGATCAGATCTAGTCATATCTGATCAGATCTAAACAGATATAACTATATCTGAGTGGAAAAATACATCAGACATAATAAGATCTAGTCATATCTGATCAGATCTAAACAGATATAACTATATCTGGGTTGAAAAAAAAAATCAGACATTAAAAGATTTTATTATATCTGGCCAGATATAACTATATTTGTTAACTATTAATAAATACTTATAAACTATTTTTCTAAATATATTTTTCTCCAAAATAAGTATTTATTGAATGTTAAAAAATATTTATTAGAATTTAATCAATTAATTAATTGTCTTCGAATAAATTAATTTATTAATAGTTAATAAATCTTCCCATCAGCGTATATTGATAATTAATAATTTGCAAATTTGATAAAAAACTTTGTTCATTACGCATCGATCATGGACACGATTCACATTACTTGTAGTTACTACAAACTCTACTCTTCAAGTAAGGTTTGTTGTTAAACAGGTAATGAGTTAGTCTTTCAAGCGTCAGGTCCCAGGTTTAGTTCCCGCGCGCGCCGATTTTTTTTTTTTTTTTTTTATGGAAATAATTTTATATAATTGTATATAATTATATATGGCCATTTTTCGTATATAATTATGTATGAGTATATATAATTTTTTTTACCTGGGCAATTTTAAAATCTGACCAGATCTGGTCAGATCTGATTATATCTGGCCAGATCTCGTCAGATAGAGACAATTTAAAGATCTGGCCAGATCTGTTTATATATGGCCAGATCTAATCCGTTTTTCCCGGGTATATACAAGTTTTAGAAGCTTTTATACATATGTGTCAAGTAGACTAGACAAACTTTGACGTTCATATATCAAGTTAACGTGTTACTCTTCTACTAAGTATTTATAGATTCAGATCTTGACATATTGAGTGTCTAGTATCATAAATCGATTGACGGTATCTAGAGACCGGCTCAAGTTTATTCAAGACGATGATAATCTTCATTTAATGCAAGCTTTACGTCTTAATCTTGTATTTTTTATACTTTTGTAAAAGATTAAGTTGATTCAAAAGAAAAATCTTTAAGTAAGGCAATAATTTTTAAGACTTTGATCATCTTTAACTGAGTAGAAATTTTTTTAAACAATGTATAAATAAAATAATTACTACAAAAAAATAATAATAAGGCGACAAATTAATTTTGTCAAAACAAAAAATGAATTCAGATAAATTCTGTTATTAAAAATAAATTCTGTAATAACAGAATAAGCTAAGTAATAGTAAATAAATAGTTTTGTTGTAACAACAAGCATATGGAGAGAATTAAATAGTAAAAATTATCATGTAATTATTGTAGGGTTATTTTTAATTTAATTCAATAGAAATTTATCATTTTATTTACAATTATTTATATTAATAACAGCTGTCTAATTTTATTTTACAAAATATTTATCAACATCATCAATATTATAAACGTTATCTAATTTTAATATTGTTTATCGGAATTAATTCATTAAATTTAAAATTTATAATTGTTAATTTTACTATAAACTTTATCATCTCGGAAAAGATATTTATAATAGGAATAATTGAGAGATAGTAGCAGTTACCATCACAAACTATAATAGTTATCATCTAAGCTAATTAAAATTTCATATAAAAAATTATTATCCTTGACAGTAATTGTTACCATCCTCAATAATAACTACTACAGTTAAAATAAAAAATAATAAATGATTTTACAGATTAACACTAAAAATTTCGTATTGAAGATGATATAATATAGCAAAAATTATTGATTTTAAATTTAAATGAAATTGATTGACAAATTATTAAAATAAACGATAATTCCAGATAAACGGAGACCTACTGATCCAAAGGAGATGCAACGGTGTCCTTACCTGCACGAGATGAAGGAGCGTCTGCTCTCGCAGCCGACCCCAACCGACAGCCTGGACATGGAACGACTGGATGGTGGCACCCCTGTTAAAGAAGCCAACCTCCACACAGAGTACCCAGCACAAACGAACCCCGGAGTGATTCCCGACCCCCCCGAAATGCCGCCCGACACCTTGATTGGCACCGTCGTCAAGGTAAATGATCCCGAGGTAATGATCGCACCAATCCTTCCTGCAGCACTACTTTTTTTGTTTTTTTTTTTTTTTTTTTTTTTAATCTAAATTCTTCAAACGCTCATCAAATAAACCTAGTCACTTTTTTATTTGATTTTTAAATTAAAATTTTTTTATTGGCGCCAAAAATTTCTCGCCTCTAATCAGTGCTCGGTTTTTGCAGCTCAACTCAGATGGCTATGGATCACATACGTCTCCGGCCCACGCGAGGCAACCTCTTGTGCCTCAGGGTTCGATGAATCCTCCGTTATGCCTTACTCCGACACATTCTAGTTATGGCAGGAATTTCCCTAAGAATGCTAAGTAAGTTACTAATTCATTCTAAGTACAATATTGTCTTATTGTGTTTATATTTTAATTTTACTTCGGAATGGTAGATTTTATGATAATTTTTATTATTTATTTATTTTATTAGACAATAATTTTTATTAGATAAATTATTATAAGAAAAACTTATATAAGAAAAGTTAAAACGTAGAATTTTGAAGGAAACTACCAGAGCAGATTTTTTAAATTGTTTTCTTGGCAATTATTTATTTTTAAAAAATATCTGATATTTTTTACTTTAAATTTCACATTTTTTAGAGTAATTTTCATTTTTTTTTATTCTAAATAATGATACATTAAAAATTGTTTAATTTCATAATATATTAATCGATATAAATGATAATTAAAATTTTTTTAACTTTCTTAAAGAAAGAATAATTTAAAAAAAAATTTTTTTTTTTAATGTCAATTTTTTAAGAAAAAATTTTGCAAAAAATAATAAATTAAAATTTTTATCATAATTAAAAGCTTTAGAATTAGCTAAAAAATTTATGTTTGCAAATTTTCACAATTATTATCTAAAATAATTTTAAGAAATTTTTCCAAAATTTAACTTTCCGAATTTTGTTAAAAATAAAAACAAAAAGGTGACCTTGAAACTAAAATATAACCCAGAAATTTCGTCGAACTTTATAAAACAAAATTTTTTAGATATAAAAAAATTATTTCAATAAAAATACAAGTTAAAAATCTCAATGAAATTCAAAGCTGACTACAATACAAGCTCAAAATCATCTTATAAAAAAAATAAGTTTTCTAAGCCATTAATTCTCTGGCCTACAGCCAAAAAATAACCCAAAAATTTCATCGAACTTTATAAAACAAAATTATTTAGCTATAAAAAAATTATTTCAATTAAAATACAATTCAAAAATCTAAAAATCTTAATGAAATTTAAAGATCACTATAGTACAAGCTCAAAATCATCTTATATAAAAAAAAAAAATAAATTTTCTAAGCCATTAATTCTCTGGCTCGCAGCCAACCTTTGAAATATAAATGAGCAGTCTTTATCCCCGAGAAATCCCTCCCTTAAAAATCTCCAACTCGTCCAATTAAAAATCCTCAATTTGAACTGTTATCCCAAGTAAGCTTAATTGCGACAATTAACGCAACAAACACAGTGCGCCTCATTGAAAAGTTCAAAAAATCAAGAGAACCTTTGTATTAGTTCCCCGAGTTTGACTAGCGGCAGCACTCGCTCCAATTCGCGCTTTTGACTCACGACTCTCTATCAAAATCAATACTCGTGCGTAGACAGAACCTGCGTTAATTATTGATAAATCATCAAGCTAACGATCGTCCCAAACTAAAAAAAAAAAAACAAAAATGTCAAAACACCCCTAAAAAAAATATTTAAAAAACAAACAAAAACAACAGTTGCCGGAAACGCCCGAGAGATTCGGTTAAAATCAAGTGGAAAAAGAGGGAAGCTGATAAAATTTAGTACTCTCGAGTAAGGTCAGTGACCCCCGTTGGTATCGAGCGGGTCAGTGGGTCGAGTCCTCTCCCTCTATCCAGAGTTGGATCCTCTGTTCATCTCCCGCCATCCCAATTTTATCCAGGAATTCCCTCTAACAATTCAAATGTCTATTATTGTTTGAATGACTGTCCTCACAAGCTTGCCCCAAGCTCTCGATCCTCATTCAAACTTAAATCCTCACTTAGACCCTCAACTCCTCCCAAAAATTCCCTCCTAAATCTTGGATCAAAATCCGTCGAAATAAATTTCCGTGGGTAAACTCAAAAAAAAATATGAAAAGCCGGAAAAAAAAATTCGCGCTTGCTCAACATTTGTACGATGATAAAAGGGGGGTAGATGGTTGCGCGGGCGCAAGAAGCTGCTGCCCGGGAAGAGGCTACCCAGGCGAACCCTCAGTCTCCGGGATGCTGAGGGCGGTGGATCGTGATTCCACCTCTAGATCAGCTTATCCCACTTGAAATTAAGTCGCGAGTGCCCTTTTAATTTTTTTTTTCTCAATATTGATACTAATAATACATCTGGCCCTTTAAATTTTTATTTTTCCGTCTGTCGGTCCATTTTTCCCTCTTTTGGTTCGCCAAATTTTTTTTTAAGTTCCAAACAGTCGTACGATTGTCAAAAATAATTATTAAAGTTTATTAAAACGTTGTGGGTTGGTAATTTTATTAAAATTAATTTTTTACCATTATAATTTTTGTTTATTTTTTTTTTTGCTTAAGAATTTTGTCGTATAAAAAAACAATTATCCGAAGTGTGACCTACTTTAAAGTTTCTTTGTCTGGAGCAACAGTTTGTAATTAATATCGATTAAAACTGTCTACAAAACAAATTAAAATGTTTCTTTAATAATAACAACGAAAAATTGGAATTTTTTTTGGTAAAATTTGGGCTGGGTCCGCGAAATTACGTTCACCAAAATGGCGGCTCGGGCTGACGCCCACTGACAATCGTACTGGCTATTTCCCGCGATTTTCCGCTCGGTTTAATTTTTTTTTATTTAAAATTTTGATGATATTTTGATTTAGATTTAATTATTTTGATCTTTAATCAATTGATTTATTGGAAGGAAGAAAATATTAACAGACGCTTAATTAAATATTGATCTTAAGTAATTAATAATAAATAAATAAATATATATAGAGGAAAAATTAGTGTTGTGTAAAAATGGTGGGCGGTGGTGATTGCAAAGTGGCGACGGTTGAAGTGGAAGCCGCGGCTGTGAATGACAATACGGCAACTTTGCCCTCGAATCGACCGTTAAATCCTCAAGGTGGCGGGGCCGGTCCACCCTCAAATACCACCCAAGACAACGCTGAGAAGAACAACGCCGCGAACAAAGAAATGGAGCTCAAGAACGTCCGTTCTACGCCCTCAAAACAGTAAGCTCGAGCTTTTATTTACTCCCGAAGATTTTTTTATAAATATTTTTCATCTGTTAGGAAGCATTTATTTACGCGAAAAAAAAATGTGATGAGAAAATGAGGAAACAGGATGCATCGGATTGCGTGTGGGGAGGTGTGATGAAATGACGATGACAAAAAAAAAGTATTCTTGATCCAGACGAGGGTTGTTCACGTATGCGTATATTATGCTGGAGATGAAAGCTGTCTCGAGCTTTTGATACAAAAGACCTTTTTTTAGTCGCGGATAAAAATATGTGTTGGGATGAAAAAATTTTTTACTGAATTTTTAATGACAAAAATTGGTTTTTTTTTATTTTAATTTTTATGCAGAGAATTTTAAAAAATACGAGTAGAATTTTTAATGACAAAAATTGGTTTTTTTTATTTAGAAAAAATTTTTTTTAATTTTTATGTAGAGAATTTTAAAATCTACGAGTGGATTTTTTTATTATTGTCTATTTAATTAAAAATGATTTTTAATGAAAATTTTTATTAATTATTTACTTTGAAAAAAAATAGTTAATTTTGTAAATAAGTTCTTATGAAAATTTTTTTACAAGCAGTAAAAAAATATTTGAGAACTGCAAAAAATTAATATTGAAAAAAAAAAAGTATGACCCGTTAAATTAATTGCCATAAATCCAGTTTTGAGATCGTCAACCGTAATAGGATAAAAAACAAGTTCTCGAATTTCACTCCCAAGACGCAATAGACATGACACTTGAATGCATCACCATTCGACAGTCAGTCGTCTCGCGTTTCTCTTAATAACGACATGTGTCAATCGCGATATATATTTATTAGTATAATATAATTCAATATATCATATCATATCCTTTTATTACATGTAAAATAAAATATAATACGGCCGACTTTAACTTACATAAATTTAAATAAAAGAAAGCTCACATAATTTTTGTCAAATAATTTTTTAATAAATAAATTAATTAGTTAAATGAAAAAATAAAATTTGAACAAATTAAAGTGTTGATTAATTAATAAAAAAATTAATTTAAAATGAATGAAAATTTTTGGTGGTATAAAAATTGAGTTGATTTTTTGGAAAAAAATAAATTTGGTGTTGATTTTAATTAAAAAAAAAAATGCAATAAACGGAATACAATATGAACTATTAGAAAACGACGTAGAAGAGAAATAATGACAGTAGAGGGGAGTAGAGTGAGATTGGAGCGAGAGTTGAAAGTAGGTAGTACTCTAGAGTATAGAGTATATGATACTAGTCGTGGTACGCCGTGATATCGACCGGCTAGCTTCGGCCTGGACCGTTCGGAGTCTGTGCCATGCACTACTGTTTCCACTTAGATTACGTATAGTACTACTCACTCGTATATATCTATATATACATGTATTATGTGAGCAAAACAGAACAGTAGCCATGTACTCTGTACTCTATCCACTGCATAGGTAGATGCAATATCACACAAGAGGCAAAAAATCTAAATTCGAGTGGACTAGACTCTCTACTCGGTAAAAACTCGCTGACTCACCTAATGACGATCTCACTAGTTCTAAGACAAACTATTTTCTGCTTTTGTTTCGATTCTTTATATTTACTTTGTCTTGTATTAAATGATTATTAAGAAGTGAGACTTGTAATTGATTTAATGGAGTTATTTTGTACTGTCGGACTTTATATTAGACTTACTACTGAAAATTAGGAGTTAGATCAGGCAATATTTTTGTTTCTAAGTTGATAAATTAGTTAATTAATTTTTTTATTTATTTAATTTTTGTCAATATTTATTATTATCAAATTTATTGATTTCTTGAAATTTTAATTTTAAATTACTAAAAATTGGAGGTAATAATTTAAATAAAAGACAAATTTTTTTAATTTTAATTTAAAAACAAATTTGAGGTGAAAAATTAAGTTTTAATTATTAATTGAAAATATTTTAAATAACATTAAATCTAATTTTCAAATGAAGAAAAAAAAATTTTTAATAAAATTGATAGATAAAAAATAAAATTTTGAAAATTACATCAGAAAATTTTAATAAAAAAATATTTCAAATTTTTTAAAATAAATTATAAATTTAAAAAAATTAATAAATAATTCTTAAGCTATTAATTATCTTGAGTGAAACTTGATTAAACTTCTAATCAATAAATCTTCTTCTAAAATATTTCTAACTTTCACAATTAAAGTCTTGAGAAAAAAACAGTTCATTAATTAATTGTAAATCGAAAACATACAATTAGAAGTAAAATTATAACGAAGACGCGGTAAAATAAATTGTATAAACTGTAACTAGTTGTAATTGTACTAGATACAATTAGTGAGACGGCAATTAGCAGTAAGGCCCGTTAAACCCCGAGGATTAATTTACTCTCGAGTGTCAGCCAGCAAGTGTCTTCTCAATCTCTATTTGTTGAGTCTAACTAGTTACAGAACTATAAAAGAGCTCGAGAGTCTTTTGTTGTCCTACAAATAAACGTACATTGTTCAAAAAGTTTCAACCATCCTGAATCAATTGATAAAGAGCTTAGGTTTTGTTGTTATTATTATTATTAATATTTATTTTCGGTCTTTTGTCTGTAATATACTGGGATAAAGTTTCAAACTCTCCACTCATTATTGGATTCCTGATAAAGGGCTTATCGAAAACTGATAACTGATAATAACAATAACGATAACTGATACCGGGATTATTTATCAATTTTAATGAAGATTTATTAATTGGAGCTGGAAGGCTATGTTAATGAGAAAAGTTCGAATTTGTTAGTGTAATTTGATGGCTCGGAAAAAGGGACTAGAGTCGGTATGAATATAAATTTATGCAAGCAATACGCTCTAATTAATTATTGCGCATAATAATTACGAATGAGGCTGGAAAATAAAAGAGGGATTGCAGGTCATCGAGCACCGGTGAACTTTTGAGCTTGTATTATATTTATTTTAACTAGTTTCAGAGTCATTTTTATTCGATTTAATATTTATCGAATGGAGAAATTTTTTAGGTTGATTTTATGAGGTCGATAGGTCGTTGAAAGTTTTGTGAATAATTAAAGTGATTTATTATTTCCGATCATGATTTCGACGTGATTAGTTTTATGAAACTTTTAAATTAGAGCACAAAATAAAAGATGAAGTTTTTTGAGTAATTACAAATTTAAAAAAGATTTTTTTCTCTTGTAAATTAGGTTTAAAAATTTTATTTATTTTTTTAATCAAGCAGAAAAAATTTTTGAATTAAGTAAAATTTACTTGAACTAAGGAAAAAATGTTTTAATTTAATTAAAGAAAATAAAATTCTTCAAAATAAATTTTCTAGTTCAAAATTTTGATTATTTACAAACAATTTTTTACAAAAAAAAAACATTTTTTAAAAATTTTAATTGTTAAAAATTTTCTATTAAATTTTTTACCCAGAACAGCAGATGAGTTATTTATTTAAATTACTTTGATGCCAAGGCATTGGCCGAATGGCATAATATGTACTAAAGTTAGCCGGCGTTTTAGACTTTTTGATTTTTTTTAATTTACTAAATTAGAACTAAAAATTATTTTTAAAAAATTGCACTTCCCGTGTAAAAAAAATCGTCTTAAAATTGTCTTAAAATTATCGTTCGTTTAAGATCTTAAACGTGACACAAACTAAGACTATTTTAAGACGCCAAAAGAAAAATTCCGAGAGCAGATTTTTGAAAATTTTGTTCTCGAATTTGTTGCGAAAATTAATTTTTAAACGATTTTACGACTTTCTAACGGCAATATTTTTGAGTTAAATGTTTTTAAATTTAATTTAAAATTGTTAAAAAATTATTATCTGACAATTTTAATACTTTTTTAAGACGTTCCGTTTTAATGTTCCGGGGCTCTGTCGCTGTTAGTCCATCTTAAAATAGTCTAAATTTTTTTTTCAAGATTTTTTTAAGACTAATTTAAGATAATTTTAAGACAATTTAAAGACGCTCCATAATAATTTTCCGGAGCTGTCACTGTGATGTCATCTGAAAATAGCCTAAAAATTTTTTAATATTTTTTTTCAGATTTCTTTAAGACTATTATAAGATTTTTCAAGACTATTTAAAAATTATTTTAAAAATTACTTAAACGTAACGACAATTTTAAGACGATTTTTTTTTACACGGTTTTAAGACGATTTTTTTTTATAATTATAGTATTTCAAATTTGCTACATATGAAAATTTTTTTTTAACAATTTTTTCATTAAAAAAAAAATTTTCTTAATTTTTAGATGTCGGCTAATTTAATTTCCATCTTAATGGCAAACATATACAATATAAATTATATAATTTATATAAATCATATAAATTAAATATTAAATCATATAATTAAATATATTAATAAAATTTGCAGATATGTAATTTTTGAAAATTTGGAAGTAATTTTAAAAATAATTTAAAAAATTTTATAGGAAGAGTTTTTAAAAATTTTAAAATGTAATTTTTTATATTATTTTTGCAAAAACTTCTTTTCCATTTCTGTAATTTTCACATACAATTTTTTTTCTGTATACTCATGAATAATATTTACTAAAAATTAATCTTCAATATTTATCGAGGCCAAAAAAATAATCAGGTATTTATTATTGTTCTGAGTGTTTAAAATTCCACAAAATTCGACCTAAAAAAAAATAGTTCAAGTCATAACAATAGTCTAAAAATACTCTGTACAAACAATAGAAATGACCTAATTACAAAAAAACAAAAGTTCTATTAGCCATGTTCTAAAACAAAATTAAAAGCCTCAAAGTTGTGGAAAAAAAAAAAAAAAACAAATGGGTTAATTTAAATAATTGAAAGCTCCAGCAATCAATGTGTTGATTAAGAATTGAGTAAATTAAATAATTAAACAGCCAGGACTAAAAAGGCAGCAATAGGTTAACAGTGGTATTGATTGAAGACGCCTACTTATTATTTATTATAAAAAATATTTAAGTAGAGGTAGAAGTGTGAGAAAAGGATCCAAGGTTACAGCCACCTCTGCAACTCATGTCAGGAAATATCATGACATAATTATCGAGTAAGCGTACGAGTATTGAATGCGAGTACAAACTAGTACATTTGTATTATATACCGGTTCGAAACTTTTATGAATATATATGTATATTGTATATAATGCACGTGGTTTTATTTGCGAGAAAAGTTATGAGAAGAATAACACTCAGTCTAGATATAACCCAGCCCGCGAACAGTCGCGCTTATTCCAAACACTAAAATCCCGAATAACTAAATAACTAAATATAAATAGATATTATGCGTTTTTTCGCATACATATTTCAAAATAATATTCACAATATTTACAATCCGAGTCAGTTAACACTCCGCAATTATCAGCTAACAGTCGTGATAACTATTGTTGGCTAATACGAGTTACGAGTTATAATAAGAGAAAAATTTGTTTTTATTTATATGTTTAATGAGAAAGTTTCTTGATTTATCGGCGTGGAGGCTGAAGGACGCGGACCACGCTTCTTTTTTTTTTATATTATTGATAATATTTATTTGTAGTTGCATTTAAATCGGATTAAAATTAATAACGAGTTGAAAAAAAAATTTAATATGGAAACCGAAATTATGCCCTTTGTGGAAAATGACAGCGGAAATGGTACGAAAATTTTGCCGGTGAGAAATAGTAGGATTCGTAATATGGAATCTAAACGGTAAGATTATTTTTTTTTTTTAAATTATTAACAAAATTTTATTATATTTTATAGATTGGCTCTAAAATTTATGAAATTAGAATTTTTTTAGTACATTTTCTGCTAAATATTAACAAAAATGGTTACTGGTATTATGAGAAAAAATAAAATTACACATAGAAAAAAAATTTCTTGCGCTAATAAAATTTACACTCCAGTCAAGAATTTTTTTTTTAACTTTTCGTTAAGAAAAATTGAAAATTTTAAAAAATTCGGGAAGTTATTCAGTGTATCATTGGGGATTATTTTACTACAGTCGGATAATTTTTAACTATTTTATTATTATTAAATAATTAAAAAATATTTAGTATTTAAGGTCAATAATTACATTAATTTTTCTGCTTTAACATAATTATTGATTTAAAATTTAATAAAATATATTTAATGTAGTTTAATTAAGCCTTTATTAATTCCTTATTTTATTACCTAACTAGATTTCCAATATTTCAATTTTATTTTTATCAATAACTGTGAAAATGATAGTTTCCTGTTGATATTTTAATAAAAAAAGTGTCCTCAAAGAATAATTATTACGTAATTTATCGATAATTTTCTTTTAATTATAAATATTTTTCAAATATACTTCATGAAAAAAACTAATTTTTGAAAATATACACTTGATTTAATTAAATATTGTTTTTAAATGATTTGAGGGATAAATTTTAATAAAAAATTTGATTATAGAGAGGCTATAAATTAAAGAAAATGAATTTTTTTTTATTTCAGAACGTCACTCTTCATAATAATGAGCTTTATTTACGCAAAACTCCTGGTAGTAGTATGTGTAGCATACGTAATAAGCGAAGTAGTAACCCACAAGCTGCCGTTGTACTACTTCGAGGGTTTTTTCGCGTACATGTACGGAATGAGTATCCTTTTCTTGCTCTACGTCTTTTGTTTCCTTCTGCAAGAAAGCGCCTGTTGCTCGAGGGGTGCAGAAACTCCACCTCCACCCCCGAAGCCACCCAAGCCCCCCAAGGAGCCCAAGGACAAGAAGAACAAAAAGGACAAGAAAGATAACAAAAAAGATACTAAGAAAGACACTAAGAACAAAAAAGATTTTCAGGCAAGTTTTTATTTTACTTTATTCTTTTTTCAAAAAATAGCATTCAAGCTTTTATTCTACTCACTTTAGTTGAGTTTATTTGCATTTCCTCTGGCTAATATTTTCATATATCCCGCTGCGTGACTCAGATTTTCAAGAATTTTAAATAAATTATATTGATGATGTAAGCTACTTTTATGCTGCTTAAAATAAGTACTTTGTTGAAGTAGGAGTATTCAATGTTTACTCTGCTAAATGATTTTTAAAGTACGAAAAAAATTAAATGATTATTTTCGGTTGAATTTTTTTGTAAGTTTTTAATTTTAAGTAATTGTTAAAATTTATCTATAAATAAGTTCAATAGACACTAAAAAAATTTAACTAAACAATAATTCTACAATTTTAAACTATAATCAACAGGATGCTAGTGATGTAGAAGCTGGAGTATCTACTCGCGTGTCCCGTAAGCGCAAAACTTCACAAAATGACCACAGCCACGGCAGTTTCTTCCTTAGAATCGGCGCAATTGGTAACAAAAATTCAATTTCTGCACCCTTATAAGAAAAACCCTCAAAATTAAAAACTCCATAAATAAATAAATAAATAAATAAAAAATATTCCAGCATTCGGACTTGGCACAATGGTCTACAACGGACTCGAATTCGGGCAGTTCTTCGAGATACCCCCAACTTCAACGTGTTTCCAGATCTTGCATGGCGTGAACCCTCTCCTACAAATGGTCTTTACTTTCATGCAAATGTACTTCATCTTCATGAACTCACGGGTAAATTTTCAAGCAATTACCAATTTTTGATTTCACTAAAACGTTGAAATTAATTACAGCTAAACATCCATCGCTTCAAAGTTATTGCACGGTTTGGATTAATGCACGTCGTCGCAACAAATCTCTGCGTTTGGGTAAAGACACTTGTCTTTGAAAGCTTGAAGGAAATCACCCAGAACAACCTAAGATACAGCAAACCCGACCTCGGAATAATCGGTAATTAATATTTAACAACATTAATAACAACAAAAAACTTCAATTTCAAATAAAAACCCCAAAATCTTTCAGAGAGCATCCGACAACACTCACTGGCCCACGCTGGACTGATCCTGGGCAACGAACCACGCGACATGGCGCAAATGCGCCTAGCGCCCTCAACCCTAACTTCAAACGCCGCCACAAAAGTCCTGGGCTCACTAGCAACAACCACACGCCGCTTAATCCGAACAACTCCATCATCAATAAACCGATACGCCAGATCAACAGCGCGATCAGTAGCTCGAGCGATAACCCAGGGAACTACATCAACCCTAGCGACATTTACCCCCAGCAGCACGACTCCTCAGTTTACAACTTCCTCTACAACATCAACCACCCCCTCAACTACAACCACCACCACAACTCCCTCCACCACTACAATGTTCCCCACTACACCCTCTTCAACATCAACTTCAACTTCACCACCCACTTCAACTTCAACTTCAACCTCTTTACCAACACTATCAACAATATTCGACGCGCTAACAACCGCAAAAGAGAACGCAACAACAACCTTAAGCAGCTCAACATCAACAATGTCACCGCCAGCGCCAACTTCAACGCCGCTATCAACCTACGCTTCAATGATGTGGGACTTTGGCGAGCCGACTTCATCAGGACTGGCCAACAAGGGACTTCCCCAATTGCTAGATGTTGTTAACCAAACCAACGGAACGAGCATCTGGACCCCAACGTACGCGTTTTACCAAAGCGCTCCTTTGAATGAAAACGCTTGTGGAAGGGTCAACATAATGGGAACGATCGTCGATGATGCAGCGCCCTACTTGTACCCTTTTATCATCGAGTACAGCCTGGTAGGCGCTGCGGTGATCTACGTAATGTGGAAGCACATTGGACGGCACCCTCGCTGGCCCCACCAAGCAGAAGCAGATTTAGAGCGACGTTTGGAAGCCATGTTGTCAAGACGCGCCGTCGCATTGGCTCACGCTGGACATGGCCGCGTAGATTGCGTAGGAGCCAGCAAGGGTCTCTTCGTAGGACTGTTCCTATTAGTAGGAAGCCTCATTTGCTTGATCCTGTTCTTCGTTCTGATCCAGCAACCTTCTTTCGGGTTGCTCGCGATTTACCTCGCGGATGCTTCTCACTGCGTGGTAATGGCGTTCTCCATTATCGCGATAATCATCGGGTTCATACGCGTCCAGAGTCTGAAGTTCAAAGCTGAAGAACAGAGCGACCTTAATGATATTCTGCTACGTGTTTCTGGGTTTGGGTTGTTTCTCTACGCGGTTTTCAGTGTGATTGCCGGATCTTTGGCGGCGTTTACCCATGAGCCGAATTTGCTGGTTATGGTCACTGGATTGCTGGCAATAGTCCAGGTGGTGCTGCAGATGCTCTTTATTGCTGATGTGTCTCGCAGGCGTGTTCATTTACCGGAACACGATCGCAGCAAGCCCGGAAGACAGGTTGTCACCTTTTTGCTGATTTGCAACGTTACCATGTGGGTTATTTACACCTTTGAGACGCAGAAAGTAGTCGCCAATCCGGTTCAGCTTGACTTTTATGGATCACTTGCGTGGATTATGGTACAGAGGGTCACTATGCCGCTTTGTATATTCCACAGGTTCCACAGCGCTGTTACGCTTGCTGAAATCTGGAAGACCAGCTACAAAGCGCGCTTGGAGTAAGAACTTTTTGTTGGTTAGCTTTTTGTGAAAGCTTTTACCTAAAAGGGGGATTAAATTCGATGGACGAATTAAAACTTATAGGGTTTTTTGTTGGGAGTTTATTAGCATTTTTTGTTGCCAAAACTAACCGGATTTTTATACTTTTATACCTTCATATCCTGTTTTTTAAGCATCGGGAATTGGAGGGGACATTGGCGCGTGGCACTACCGTGTTTTTGGATTCGGTTAAAAATGAGTAAATAAATTTCCGATGCTTTTTAATTAGAATAATGGTATTATTCTATGGTTTCGTTTTAGTTATTTATTTTTGTATAATGTAATTAATTAAATTATAATAAATAAACGAGTACTTGATATTGAAGAACAAATAATGGGATCATTTTATAATTTATAAAAATGCTTTAAGCAAGTGAAAAAATAAAAAAAACGTATAATACGTTTGTTGCGTATTTGTAAAGTACAAAATTGTTTATAATTATATTTAATATAGTTTACAATTGGCGAGAATTTATTCCTTTTTATTGTAAGGAAAATTCGAGGGTTTTTTTTTAAAATGTGGATTGTACTGAGGATTTTTGAGGGAAAATATTATCGCGGGATTAAGAGGTTAACATTAAATTTTGACCGAGGGAAATCGCTCGGAAACGAAGTTTAAGTAAAAATGAAATAAATATTAATTACAAATAATGATAGATATCATTAGATAATAGATTTTAAAATAAATATGGCGAATGAGTAGACCTATTCCTATGATTAGATGAAAGTTTTATCGCTAAAAGTCATCGAGTCATCGAACAAAGTAAAAAATATAAATCAATGAAGATATTATATAGATGAATTAGTGATTGTTCTACGTGTTCGCTATTCATTTTTAATTAAAAAACATTTACATTTAAAGTATGTACTTAGCTTCGCGTTCATTGTAATTGTTCAAACGCTGTCAACTCACGATATTCAGCCGTGTAAAGAGATTTTAAAATGATAACGACGAGGATCAAAATGAAGAATTTTATTCTTGGGAGATTGGAATTGTTTGCACAGAAAAAAAATTTTTGGCTCAAGAAAATTTTTCTTGAAATTCTATTCTTGGTGGAAGTCATTTTTTCTTAATTCAAATTATCATAAATACTTGATACAATAAATTTTTATATTTGATCAAGATTTTTAGATACTTTAGGAAAGCGCCACTTACTTCAGCTGAGAAAAAAATTTTCTCACCTTGAGAAAATTTTTCTCTTTAATATTTGATACCCATTTTATATTATTTTACCGTGCAATTATACATATTGAATGAAAAAAAATGATGAAATATTATTTGATCTTTCCATTTAACATTTTAATCAATAAAAATATTAATGAAAATTAACTTCTATCTTTATATTTAATTTTTTGGAGCAAGAGAGGAATTTTCTCAAGACAAGAAAATTTACTTCTATCAAGAACTAAATTTTTTGGAGCAAGAGGCTGAATTTTCTCAAAAAAACAAGAATTTCTTGACTTAAATAAATTTTCTTGGATCAAAATACGTATTTCTTAAAGCAAGAGAATTAATTTTGTTGGAATAAGTGAAAATAACTAGGAAGAAAAATATTTTCTTGGCTCAGAATCTTTTTTTCTGTGTGAAAGTTTGAATCCTGTTCAATAAATAATTTTCATTTTGATATTGTTGGTATCATTTTAGAAAAAAAAAATTTACACGGTAATATACATACATATATTATACAAAGAAAATATTTAAATGACCCAAAATTACACAACTGATATTATAAAAATAGATAACATAAAATTATAAATAAATTAAAGACTTGACTTTATAAAAAAAAATGTTCTAAACATTGTAAATAACTCGAACTGAAACGCAGAGTGTCTGTGAGAATAAATTACTTTAATTTGAACAACTTTATTATATTGTAATTATTTAGTTCTTGTTCAAATTTATTTTTTATATACATAAAAATTCTCACTTATGCTCTGCAATTAATAATTTTTAGCGGGAATTTAAGTGAGTTTGTGATATTACAAATTCCGTAGATTCTTGTCCTTGACCAACGCAAAAATAAAAGGGGTTGAGTCCATATATTTAACCATAAAATTAATTAATTAATTAATTGTTGAATAAAAATTCATCTAGAATTAAACAAGGCACTGCCAACAGGACCAACTCCTAGTGAAATACTGAGTACCGGACAAAATTTATTTAAAATAATATTAAATAAACTATACACGAAAAATCATTTTAAACTATTGATTATAAATTATAAATTAATTAATTAAATATATATATTATATATATGAATAAAATGTAACCCTCCATTATAAACCTAGTCCTTAAATACTCACTATCCCTTGCCATAAATTACCCTCCATCGAGTATGAGTGATCTAATGAATATATAAATCTGTAAGTGTAATTGCGGAGTGATTGAAATTATAAAAAAATTTTTTTTCAATTATTTAAGTACCTAGTTGTAAGCCTAAGTGATAGTTAATTAAATTTTGAAAAAAAAATTGATATTTTATTATTTTATGTTTTTTATTTTGACTTTTCTCAATTGTAATATTTAATAATAATTATAATTACTAGAATTATTTATTAAAAAATAAAATACGTTACTTAACCAAATATGTAGAAATATATTAATAATAATAACAATAATAATAATTATTGTAAAACGTATGATGTAAACATTTTTTGATGTCTTAAAGTGTAATTGACAATTTATAAAAAAAAACACACGCACAAAGACAAAATCACTGAACATTAAAAATGACATTATATTATAAATAATATGAATGATTATCTAAAAACCACAAGATTTATCGAAGCTAATGTTAAATGTAAAAGAAACATTAATATATATATATAATATATATCTATGTTGTCAAGTAAAATGCAAGTTATCTAACGTCGAGTAGAAAAATAAATAAATAAGCACCCGTCAATTTTATTTATATGTTCATCACACTCTATCATTTAAATATAATATATAATATAATATAATGAATAATAATTTTAATTATTAATATAAAGATAAGTGATAAGAAGGTATTGTGAAAAATAAAATGATGAAAATGATAAGTAAAAAAACAGAAAAATGTGGAAAAGTAAAAAAAATTTTAAAATAAACGTGGTTAGCGTTTTATTGTACTTTTTTCTTCCCAATTTTACCATCTGATATTGACGCTTTAGCGTTCATTTGTGTAACGCTAAATCGCATTGATCGGTTAATAAAGTTGTATAGAAGTAATATTGACTTTGTTTATATTATTTTTTATGGCATGCATTTTTCATTTTTTTTAAACCTCAATTTATATAATTAAGAGAATAAGAAAAATTTTTTTTGCCTTGTCAAGGTTTCATATCATTCTTATCGATAGTCAATTTATTATGATAAGTATTTAGGCTGCATTCGAAAATTCTCTATTTCTAGATACATAATTAAGAAATGACATTGTATCTTGTAAAATATTGACATTCTTAAAGATATAAGCTCATCCCGATGTTACGCTCATCAAGACCTTTCATTTGAGTACCCACATCAATTTTTCATATATTTATATATATTGTATATATGTATATATGAAAAATATATAAAAATGCATGTGGGTACTCAAATGAAAGCTCTTGATGAGTATAACATCAGGATGAGCTTATATCTTTAAAAATGTCAGTATTTAAGAAATTACCTAGTATCTTGTGAATTATTGACATTTTTAAAGATATAAGCTCATTCCGACATTACACTAATCGAGACCTTTTATTTGAGTACCCACATCAATTTTTCATATATTTGTATATTTATGTATATGTATATATAAAAAATATATGAAATTGCATGTTGGTACTCAAATGAAAGCTCTTGATGAGTGTAACATCAGGATGAGCTTATATCCTTAAAAAAAGTCAATAGTTAAGAAAGTACAGTGCAATTTAACAAAAGTTATTATTCAATAAAGCAAAATGTTGTTAATTTATAGTCCGCTGCAAGGTTGCTAGTATTTATTATTTTTGTTAATTGCCTAAGGCTGATTTAATTATTGTTTCAATAAAGGTAGGTGAAAATCATAATAAATTTTTTAAAAGTAATATTTATTTAAAAATTCTATAAACTCAAATATTTATATCAATGAAATTTATTCATAAAATATCAAAATTACAAAACTTACAATTAGATTTTGTTATTCTTAGATTCGTTAAAATTAAATATATAAATTATCTTTAGTATTAATTTGCTTTTAGTGTTCATATACTTAATACTCAGTGGCAAATATAAATTTTACTTACAATAACATTTTTTGTCGTTCTTTTAATTACAATAATTTAAATTTGAGACTTCTATATTAATTAAATTTATCATTTTTATTTGTCGTTATAATTTCTATTAGTCGCTTACAAAAATTAAATGGTTATATTCAATGGAGTATTCAGTAGTTAATAGTCACTAAAAAAAATTTCCTATCCTATCATATATGAAAATATTTAATACATTACAAACATTTAAAAAAAAACCAACAATTAAAAATTTTACGATTTTCTATATTTTACTTTGTGATAAAATATACTTTCTTAAATGAATTAATTGTAACAATTTCACCAAGGGACTCTAGATGATTGCGCAGTTGAATTAATCCTGTAATACAAATTTTAATCTTAATTTAAGTCAATTATTATCGCTGAAAAAAAAATAAATATAATCATCTAAATTTGTGCGTTCAAAATTTCTTAAATACGCACAAAATTATAAATTAAATTTTGCATATAATAAAAATATAAATACACACGAAATTAAATTTTATAAGTCATAAAATTAAAATTTAAAAAATACAAAAACAAAAAAAAAAAAAAAAAAAGAAATTAAATAATTAAAAATTTAAGAAAATAAAGTTATTAATAAAATAATAATTCAAATAATAAAAGAATCTTACTTAGGCTTAGCATTCATATACGGATGATTTTTTTTAATCTCCCTCCTTTCTTTACTCCTGATAAGCTTGAACGTCGAGTCATTAGAAGTATTAACCTCACTAGTATTTCCCAATTTAGCTCGTTCAGTCTTCAATTTATTGAGAATAGCCACACTCTTGGCGCTCATAACACTGACAGGCTTCTGACTCCCCTGCGCTTTATTTTCCTTCCCGGCAACAAGTCCACTTGCCACCCCTAACCTGCTCTTCGGGGAGAGGCGCTTGACCTGTTTCAGCGGAACTTTCACTTCTCCCTTGTCAACTAAAACACGTTTTTTAGCTTTACTCTCAACTAAATTAAACGTATTGTTTAACTGACTTGCATCAATCCCGCTTTTCTCATCCCCGTCTTCATCCTGAGAGCCTTGAGACTCGCTATCCAGCGTGATAGTAGAATTACCTATGCCTTCCGGAGTACCTTCAAAACTTTTATTAACCTCAGCACTACCAGCCAATTCTAAACAAGGTGGAGTAGAAGGAGAATCATCTTCTTCATTATAACTCGGCAAATGAATAGGCATTTCCATCCTCAGAGGATCGGCTAATTCATCAGTCGACAGACAAATCAGCGTATAAGCATCCTGAGAAGTTCCTAAATCCGCATCAGCCCACTTAATATTCCTAACTCCCTCTAGCGACTTAATCAGCTGTTTAAACTCCAGTTTCATTTTTTCTGTAAGCGTTCCGTAGCCTCGCATCATACTGTAATAACTTTGCAAGGTGTTGCTCATCATCTTGGTGATAGTATCAACAGAATCTAACTCGCACTGCTGAAGACTGCTGATCTTTTTAGTGTGCTCAATCTGCTGCAGGTTCCTTGCGTTCTCCAGGCGACTCTTTTGCTGAGCGTAAGTCTCAGCTAATTTATCAGCCAAGCCTTTGCTGCGAGCTTCTTCATCAAAAGCGGCAAGATTCTTCTCAATTTTTCTTAACTCAGTCCAAGCTTCTTCCATCTGAGTCTTGACAATATCTCGCTGTCTCTTAAAATGTCCCAACGATTTATTAACTCTAGACTTTCCACTGGCGTTTTGATCATGCGGTAATAAATCTTGATTATTAGTCAGCTTTTGCAGCCGCTTATCAGCTGAGATTTTAAACTGAATTCTGCAGCATAAAATTTTATCAGCGCTCTGAAGCGCGAGGATTTTTTCATTTAACAACAATCTATTTTCCATTAGTGCAATTAGCCGGTCTTTAAATTCTTTTAGGTCTTTTTTATTGTCCTCTTGGTCCTTTTCTGGGGAATTAATACGTGGGCGAGATTCTAACATCAGTAATTTTTGTTTAAGCATCGCAATTTCCTTCTTTTGCTCATCGACGAGATTTTTATAACCGGTGACGTGCATTTCGCAGGAGATAATATTCTTGGTCATGTGTGTCTTTATTTTCTTGGCGCGATTAGCGTAACGGAGCGTGTTGTAGGTGTCCTCGTAGCTTAAACTAGAGGGCCCGATGTTTGCGATCATTACAGTTCGGCAATTTCCGCCGAGAGAGTCTTTTAATAAACGAGTTAGCTTGCTGTCTCGGTAGGGAATGTGTTTGATACCTTCCGCGAGATTGTTGATGCAATTGCCGAGGGCGAGGAGCGATTTGTTGATATTCGCGCCTTCCTTGAACCTCGCGCCTTTGCAACCAGTCGCGGAAGCTCGCTCGCTACCTGCCAAGTCGATCATGGAGAGCTTTACTTGCTTTACTTGGCCGTCGAGCTTATTGGTGATGTTCACGTAGACTTGGAAGACAGCGTGGCTACGGCTGGATTCCGCGTTTGCGTCTGTCGGGTGCTGAGTTCGGTTTCTGTTACCCTGGGCTAGCAGAGACAGCAGCTCTTCAGCGTTTTTTATTGTTTTTATTTTAAGACCGGAGACTACTACTCCTGCTCGGCCGTCTTCGCGGAGGGCTAATGGTCCTATGCGGTGCAAAAGGTCTTGGACATTTTCGTTGTAGATTTCTGGATAGGAATAAGTTTTGATTTTTATTATTGTTATTTTTTTAAAATATCAATAATTAAGAAATGACGTATCTTGTGAACTATTGACTTTTTTAAAGATATAAGCTCATCTTGATTTTACAGTCATCAAGACCTTTCATTTGAGTACCCACATCAATTTTTCATATATTTATATATTTCATATATATGTATATATGAAAAATATA